CATTAAATAAATAGACACTGTTAATAAAAAGTCATTTAAAACCTTCCCCATATTTATAAGTCGAAGGTTTGGGTTAAAGAGGAAATCACAGAGAACGTTACAAAATATTTGGAACTGAGAGACAGTAACGAAACTTAACAGGATAAAGCTGAAGCAATACTTAGAGGAAAGTTTATCACTTAAATGCTATTATCAAAACAAAAGAAAAACTAAAAATAAACAAGTAATCATCTTAAGAATCTAGAGAAAAATAATAAAGAAAAGTTGAGAGCAGAAAATGAAGGTAAGAGAAGACATTTGTGAAACAGAAAACTAAATCGCTGAGATAACAATAGCATCAAAAGCTAGTTCTTGAGAAGACTAATGAAGTGGATAATTTTATAGCAAGACCAACAAAGAAAAAAAAGCACAAATAAAAAATATAACCCCAAAGGGAGTCATAACTGTAGAAAAATGAGATAACTTTTAAAATCCCAGAAGAATATTATGCTAACTTTATGCCAATAGATTTGAAAACTTGGATGAAATATACATTTTATATGAAAACATAAATTACTTAAATTGGCTCAAGAAGAAATGTAAACACCTGGACGTTTCATAACCATTTAAAGCTATTGAGTGGAGAGTCAAAACTCTTCCTGTCTTTCTGCCCCCGCCTGGGCCCAGTCAGTTGTAAGGTGAGTCTCACCAAGCCTTCAAGGAACAAGTAACATGTCACTCACTCAAGACATTTCACAGAAGGCGAGAAAGCGTTTCATGAGGCTGGTACCACCTCCTCACCAAAGCAGCGCAAGGAGAACGTGAGACAAGCAAAGAGCAGCCTGAACCGCGAGCTCCTGAGGCAGCCTCTGTCTCTCCACTGACAGCCCTGAGCGCTGCATGTCGCCTGACGCTGCAGGACTTGCTCAGTGGAAGGAGGTCCCGATAATCCAAAATAAAATATTCAAAAATCAAATCCAACTGTGTAATGTAAAAAATAGAACCTCACAGCTAAACCGTGTTCATCCCAGTATTGCAGGAATTTGTTAACATTAATTCCTTATCGCTATAGGTTAAAAGAGAAAAATAATCATGTCAATAGATGCAGAAAGATGAAACACTGAACAGAAGTCAACTTTCACTCATGGTAAAAGCATCATACTAAGAATTGATAGGACTTTTAAAAAGAAAAACCTGATCTACCGAAAATTCATAGCCAGGGTGGGTGATAGCCAGTGCGCACAGGTTTCGTTCTGGAGGGAAAACAATGCTTTAAAACTGGGGTGATGGTAGCACATATTTGCGAATATACTAAAAACCATTCAATTATATACTTTAAGTGGGTGAATTACGTATGTGATTTATATCTCAGTAAACACAGCAAGTATAATAGATAACAGTAAAAGATGACAAGTATTATTAAAGGAAAAACAAGGATGCCCAGTATTTAGGCCTTGAAGGCAAATGAAATAAGATAGAAGTAGAAAGACTGGAAAGGAATAGAAAAAATTGTCATTATTTGCAAATGATGTGATGACTTACACAGAAAATCCAAGAGACTCTATTAGAAATAATA